GTGAAAGTAGATCATAAATCATAAATGTCCATCACTGTCTATCCTCTGAACTCCCAGGGTCACTTTCTCAGCTATCTACCTATCTAGCATGTGACCACGACCTTTCTTTTCCACATTTATAAAGTAGGCAGTGAGAATTTTAGGTTAATATATCCTAGAGTTTCAAAGCCTTTCATGACTGGCCCCAATCAACCCTTTCAAATTTTGCTTGCTCCACGGAACAAACCCTTAGCTCTAGACATGTTGTACATGTCAACTGACTCCCAAATACATTGCTCACTATTCTGCCTCAGCAATTCCTCAGCTCATGCTCTTCCTCATACTCGATATGCTCTTCTTCTTACTGCCTAGTACAGTCATACTTCTATTCCAGGGCTACCACACCTGGGGCATGCCCCGGGACCCCCAAACTCCTCTGGTACCCTAAAGCCCTGACTTATTCTCACCTCTCTCTCAGCCCTGAATTTGCACAGCCTGGGAGTGTTGTCTTCCTGTGTTTCCATTTCTCCTTATAGACTATAGAGTCCTTTGAGGCAAAAAAAAAATGTGTCTTTAATTGTCTCTACTTTCTCCTTCTGAGACCTAATACAGGGCCTAAATCAAACACTAGCTGAACAACTTATAGAATAGGCATACCTCTTGACCCTCCAAGAGCTGCTGTAAGGAGAATAAAATGAGACATCTGTCTATTGTCAGGAGAGCTATAGTTTTCTAATCCTGTTTAGGACAAAACAGAGAAGTATTGAGCCAGCTCAATAAATTAAGATATATTTAATTTAAATATCAGTTCCATTGTATTTATTTGGAGCCCTCAACATGCTGGGTGCTGCCCCTCAAACAAGAGGAACAGCCAATGCTGGTTTTGATTCATTGGCCACTCAATTCTGGAACCTCCCTCTTCAGTTCTTTTGGGCCATTCTTTGACATTCACCAGGGAAATGCACCATAAAATTCCCACCAGAGGCCATTACTATAATTAGTATATAGTCTCTGGGCACGATAGTGGTACATTATATGAAAAGTAATATGGTAGTTTCTTTCATAAGTAATATGATAGTTTTTGCATATGCATGATATCATAATGTTATTTCTGTCATTCACCGTCTTTTAGCCATCTTGGCTAAGATAAAAACGTACATTTGGGCTCAAAGTCATCCTGTGTCTGGCCTCAGCATGATAGAAACTTTCTGGGTCCATCTCCAGAATGGCAACATCCCTTATGTCCCAGAAATATACAGACACTGTAGCTCCCTTCACTGGGAGCAGGCTGAGTTTTGGGACTGATAGGGAGATGATATGGCAGGCCAAAAACTACAACACCCTTGGCTTTTGGCTGGAATCTGAAAGAATGTAGCCATTTTGTGATACCAGTTCCAGAGGCTGAGAATCATGTAGGCATGTAACATGGAAGTAATGGGTGAATTAAATGTTTTTCCCAAAGAGAAACTCCAGTAAACTCTCTTTAATCTTTGTTATCTAATCTATCAGCCAGTGGAGAGATTATGTTCTCCATGTCCCCTATGGAGAAACTACAGTTCAGAGAGGTTTGATAATTTTCTAAAAACCATACAGTTTGCTTATGGCCAAATTAAGGTTAACACCCAAGATTCTAGGTTCTAGTCCCATACTTCATTACTCCACTTTTGTCTAATGGATATGCTACCATTGGCTGTTAAATAGCAGAGGCCAATTATTCCCAAATGGCACCTTCTTACATTGAAGTCTCACAGTGATTCTCTTCTTTAGATCTGCCTTAGAGGGAGGATCACTCTATAAGAGAGTCTCTGTTACGTTTTTAATAATAAGACCCCAGGGAAAGGGATGGTGGAGGCTAAGATAGGCCTGACTTTAGTACCACTCTAGATGAAGCAAGGAATGTACTGAATCCAATCAGTGTTTTACATCCTATCTGTGTTTTTGTATTGAGTGCTTCTGTTGTGCTAGGCACTGTGCTCAGATATGGGCATCAAAGTTGAAAGTATCTGCTCTACTCTCTATAAATGAACAGTCTAGAAAGGGAAGAAAACACATAATCAGACAGTGTCAGTAACATATACCAAGTGTAATTATTGCAGTAAACACAAATGCTATGGGAGCACAAAGAGGATGTCAAGGCTAGTCTAAAGGTAGGGATGGGCTCTCAAAAGTTTTTATGGAGTAACTACAGTTAATATCTGTGCCTGCCCATTGAAAATATTCAGTAAAAGTTTGATATTATCACTATGACAGTAAACATTGTCCCTGCCCTCTGGGAGCTCATGGTCTAGCAAAGGAAAACATACCAATATATAACTATAATAATATGCAATTCAGGCATATGGTCTCTTGGAGAAAACAGACATGAATAATAACTCGCATTCAGTAAATGCTGCCTATGCGCCAAGCACTATTCTGAGGACATGATATTTATTCTCTCATTTAGTTCCCACAACAAACTTATGGTTAATACAATTTTTCTCAATTATTAACATAAATGAGGAAACTGAAGCACAGACAAGTAAAGTAATTTCCCCAAAGTCATACAACTAATGGATATTGTTAAGTAGTCACACTTAAACCTGTCTGAAAGAAGAAGAAAAGCCATCTGGAAGATGACCTGGCACTCACAGGTAGGCCATGGATGGTTTTCTGATGGACATAAGTACTCTTGCAAAATGCTGACATCAGACAATCTTACACTGAGAACATGACAAAATGAAACAAAACAAGACCCCTTCATAATATTGTCTAAGCACAGATTAAAAACCCCACAAAAGCCTTATCTCCACTTTAGTCACCTCCCCATAGATAAGATTGATTAAGATGCCCAGTCATAGAATTGCCCTTGCTTTCTGACAGCATTCAATGTATAATTAATTTCCATTTTCTTAAACCCTCCCCCAATTATCCAACCAAAACCCAAATCCTATAATAAATCCTTTTTACCACCCTTTATCTGAGATATCCCATTCCTGTTTTGTTAGTTTGCTCTGGCTGCCATAACAAAATATTACAGACTAAGTGATTAAAACAACTGAAATTTATTTTCTCACAGTTCTGGGGGTTAAGAATCCAAGATCAAGGTGTTAGTAGGTCTTGTTTCTCTTGAGATCACCATCTCCTTAGCTTGCAGTTGGTCTTTTTATGTTGTCTGTGTCCTAATTTTCTCTTCTTACAAGGACCTCAGTCATATTAGATTAGGGCCCATCCTCAGGGCCTTATTTTAACTTAGTTGCCTCTTTAAAGGCCCTATCTCCAAACACTGTCACATTCTGGGGTACTGGGAGTAGTCAGAGCTTCAACATATGAATTTTTGGAGAAACACAAATCAGCCCATAACAGCCATGGTGTGTGTTATCCCTCACTCTAACAAGCAGTAAACCCAAACTGTTCAACTACAGTTTTGTTTCTGGTAGTTTTTGGCTGGAGGGCATTGGCAAAAATTATAACTGGTAACTAATAATCAATTAACTTTATAAAGGAAGAGTAGCATATGTGGTTAATACAGATGAAAACCATGTGCTTTCTGACAACTGAAAAAGAACAATTCATTCTGGACATTGAGATCCAGCCAATAGATGGGTGGCATTTTGCATGGTTAACCTTTTTTGCTTCTTTCTTTGTTTTTGCTTTTGAGAGCAGAAGTCAAATTTTATTGGTCTTTTTATTTATTCCAGTGCCTGAAAGATGCAAATATATTTTCACAGTGTCTCACAAATGCAAGACAAATAAGATATCCCTATCCTCAGGACCATATACCTGACTTCCTTGTGACTCAATTTTCTCACTTGTAAAATTGACATAATAAAATTGTGTTCGTTGTGAAGATCAAATAATTCGTGTAGATTGCTTAGCACAGTGTCTGGCATATAGTAAGGACTCAATAAGTGTGATTATTTTAGGCTGAGATACCATTTGTGGATGAGTTTCATAGATATAAAATGAAGGGGAGAAATAACAAAAGTGTTTTAAGCAAGTGGAATGACAGAAACAAAGGCACAGAGATGAGGAGCTGTAAAAGCCATACAGACACTTTATGGTCCAGGAATGAAAGACCCATAGTAGATAGCCTCAAAATTGGTAAAGTGACCCAGACCTTATTGTCAATGGGATACCTGGAACATTTGTCTCCTGTACTTTTCCAGGGAAAAGAAAATATACCCCCCCACCTCTGTGCTGTTTCTGGGGAGGCGTTGTATGACAAATGATGGTGAGAAGTTGCACATATCAGATCTCAAAGCCTAAGCCCTGGTAGCCATATGAGACCATAGCTGTGGCAGCAGAGAAATCTGAAATTGGGCCCTGCCTGACTCGAGAAGCTGTGCTTTGACAATGATATTGGAGCAAGGGCACACACAGTAGCTAATTTTACCCCTTCTGTTCTAGTATCAACATTTTCATCTCTTGCCTTGGCTCCTAGTGGTGACAACGTCCAAGGCTCAGGCCCAACCTTGCACCCAGGGCTCCAAAAGTACTATATGGTTCCTCCTGAGTGGCTCTCCAATCGTTTTGCTGTTTACTGTTGAGTTCCCAGGACGTCTGAAGGAAAATGACCACCTGAGAGATTTTTCAATAACAGTCGTCAGGCAGATCTGTTTTCCTTCCTAGCCATATTCAATTTTTCTTCTTTCCTTTATTTCCCAAACATCCCTCCCCAATTGTGTGCCTTCATCCAACGCTTCAAACAGGACCCACATTCCTGGGGGCCCAGGCCCTGAAGTTAAGAGTAGGTAGAGGTTGAATGGTTAGTGGCTTGGTGGATGAAGCCATTCACATATTCTTCCCTAAACTTCAGAGTACCCCTCTCCGCACACACAACTGCCTCAAAAGGCGTGGGAGAGTGGTGTCCGGTTGTGTGTCTGCCAGGGGAAGAACGCACCAGTGGCGTGGTGGATTGGAAGGGCAGCAGGAACGCGAGTGGGGGGCGGGGTGGAAGTGGGGAAGGGGAGTGCGCGCCCTTTATGACAGGTGGCCGCGCAGTGCGCGCTCCCGGACGCTTAAGGGGAGGAAGGGACAGACGGACAGAGTTGGGGGGGAGCTCATAAGGAAGGGACCTTAGAGAGGGCAAGGAGAGCGAGAGGGGAAGGGAGGGCTGTGGTGGGGAAGGAGGGTAGAGGGGGGAAGGCGTCCAGCAAGAACAGCCGTGTTGGAGGAAACAATGGCAGGGCAATAGCGATGGTGGCAGCAGAGGCAGCCCCACTCTGGGCACCTTTCTGAATGGGCAGAGACAGCTCTGAGAGAAGAGGGGACCAGGCAGTGCCTGCAGAGGCTCTGAGAAAAGCGGCAGAGGGAGGAGAAGAGGGAGGAGGAGGAGAAAGGAGGAGGAGTAGGAGGAGGAGGAGGTAAGGGGAGGAGGGGGGATGAAGCAGGGGAAGAACCTGGGAAGGAAAACCAGTAGCATCAGCAGCAGCAGCCGCCACCGCCGCCACAGCAGTAGCATTAGCGGCAGTAGCAGCATATAGCAATAGCTTTAACAGCTATAGCGACAGTAGCAGCCGCCCTCCTCTTTCCCTCTCGCGGACGGCTGCAGCCACCGCACAGAGCGGGCTCCAGGCGCCGAGCGTGCAGTCCGCTAACTAGGTAGCTCCAGCCGGGGCGAGAGGTAGTGCAGGCGAAGCAAGGACCCTTAGAGCAGCCAGGCAGCCGCAGAAGCTCTGAGTTTTAGGGCCAGAGCCTGACAGCTCTGACTCCATCTAGCGTGGCGGCGGCGGAGCCTGAGGGAGCGAGCGACGAGAGAGGCGCGTCCACCTGGCGGGCCCTGCGCATGGAGCTGAGGCAAAGGCGGCGGCGGCGGCGGCAGCAGTAGCAGTAGCAGCGGCGGTGGCGGCGAAGACAGCTCGAACAGCTGAGGCGACGGCGGCAGCCCAGCCTTGACTGCGACCGCGCTAGCTACAGCGCCTGCTGCCTGAGCCCGCCAGCGACGTGCGCCTCAGGAATCGGCCTGTGAGGTGAGTATGAGCGCTGCCATAAAGCCCCCTGGCCTTCTCGCAGGCTCCCAGGCTGGCTAGGGGTGGCGGCGGCAGGGGATGGAGCGAATTGGGGGAAGTCGAACAAGAAGAGAAGGAAGGGAAAACGGAAGAGAGGACGACTGTGTGCGAATGTGTGCGTCTATGTATGAGGTAGCGAGGCCGCCAGGGCGAGAGATCCCGGCTCGCGGTGACAGGCACTGCAATCTAGGAAAGGCCTCTGTGCTTGCGCCGTAGGAAGGGGACTGCGGGGGGAGGGGAAGCGAGCGGACCCGAGCCGCTGCGCTTATACGCACATAACCCGGCAAAGTGCCGCTTCCTTTCGGATTGGTGCAGGGTAGAGCCTGGCCAGGGAACAGGGCATGGGCATGGCACGCTTTGTCGAGAGCGGGAAAACCCATGCGGCGGCCGAGGCCGGGTGCTCAGACCAAAGCCGCAAAGGTGCGAAGCCGGGAGGCAGTGGTGACCACAGAGCGCCCCCAGGACACGGGCCACTCTGCCGAGGCTGCGGACAGGTTTAAGTTGCGGGCCAGACCGAGCCTCGCCCAACTCGTCACCTTTGCGGAAACTGGCTGGTGGCCCCTTCCCGCTCTCGGTGGCGGTCGAATTGACGCTTTCATGTGTGGCTTCTGGCGCTTCTCTCTGCCGCTCCCCGCAGCACACGTCGGCTCGCGTGTCGTACACCCTGCAGGGCGGGAAGGTAGTGAGCCGGCACCGGGAGCGGAGACCCGCTCTGGGAAAGTGTGGAAACCGCGCGCGGCTGAGTTGGCGCCGTTCCGCTGAGGAATTCAGTGATTTCAGCATGACTGCTTCTGTCTGTCTGATTCGTGAGGGACCGAATCACCCGCGCAAGGTTTTCTTTTTCGAAGTTAAAAAAAAAAAAAATTGGCATCCCCATTTCGACAACAGCACTCTTGATTTTTTGTTAAGCTTCTGATTGCATTTTGGAATAAGCGGTCTCATATTTTGCTTCTGGGTTTTGGCTCCCAGCATATTGTTGAATTCTGTGCACAGCACTACACTTAGCTATGTGGCCTTTTTCTAATGTTGCATTTTCTAGACTGTTATCTGAAAAGACATGATTTGTGTTGTAGGGCTGGCAGGGCTGTTTTTATAAAATGTCTAAAGCACTCTAATCCCGGGATTTGAATATATCCTTGGTTGTTTTTGGTGGAGGAGTTCCTGGAATATTTTGCTTGGCGAGAAAAGGTGCTATAATGTTCTCTGAACTCCTTACGACCATTTGTGTTTTGGGGGGTGGTGAATCTCCCTTACATCTTTTACGCTTGAGGTAACATATGAGCAAATGTTTTATTTACAGCAGTGACGTTCTTATGGCTGAGGAGAATGTACACTTATTGAAAAAATATTTTTAGAAGGGAACAAAAAAGTCCTAAGTAACTATCATTTTACATATTAACTGGGAAACCGGCTAATCAAATAAAACTGGCTGAGTGTCTGAAACTCTATCTCAGTGAAATATGTGGCTGTGAATATAATTAACCATCTGTCTAGTGAGCAATTTAAATTTGGGCTGGTACATTTTTATTACAGTGTCTAATTTCTGGAAGACGTACATTTTACCCAGCAGTAACAACAAAAACGTATTTGCTTACTAGGTCAAAAATTTACTTGGTGTGGTGATGGTATTTCCCTCTCTTCCTCGTGTGTTTCATAGTCCCCACACTGCTTAACCTAGGAGGTCAAAATGAGCCTCTTGTTTTTGCAAATAGCGTTTTTACAATAGAGGAACTGAAACCAGCCCTGGTGGCTACTGATTAGAAATTTTTGTTTTTTAGAAATACTTTCCAATATTTTAGCTCCCCACAAATCTAAATAGATTGCATGCATGCGAATTTAAAAATATAATTTTTGGTGCACATGTGTTCAAATGAGGTAGGGTAATTGAACAAAATTTTTAAGACTTGAAATTTCTCTATTTACTTTCTCTTATTCTGATGAGTTCTCTACCTGGCTCTCCCAACTGGCACCCCCCCCAAGCATAAACTCATACAAAAACACATCCTTTTGTCCTCTTAGCCAGTTTGTAAGGTTAACAGTGTTCAGATCTGTGATTTTAACAATATACTGATAAACTGCCTTTTTTTGTAAATCATAAGTGTAAAATACTATGACATAAAAAGACATTGTACATATATATAAAGTTTCCCCTATGGTGTGATTTTAGCAAGAAATTTATTACTAGGAAAAAAGAGGAATAGAGTTTGAATAGAGATGAAATGGCTCTGGAAAGATTAGATTTGAGCGACCTCCACCAAGTAACTATTGTTAACATAACATAATTTAAATGAACCATAGATTTATTGTGCAATAAGCTAGAGAAAGTCATTTAAAGGAAAATACTTTTAAAGCAAATATTTGCCTAAATAAGAGCTCTGATAAATTGGTAACAATTATGTAAGTACATGGCAGAATTTGACATATGTCAAGTCTGTTAAATAAATCAACCTGTTCAGTGAATAAAGTGAATAAATCTTTGATGCATCAGTGCTTTTTCACACACACACATGCACATGCACACGCGCACACACAAACTTATAACACCCTGTTGCCAAAGTCAAAAAACGGCAACACTGCCACTTTCTGTTTTACTTCAACCTGTCTCTTTTCCCTCTTTTTCTTTTTTCTGCAATCTTCTGATTACCTGTAAGCTACCCAGTGAGCAGAGAGAACTAAAGGTGTGGTGGTGTTGCCTGTGTTTAGGAGGTGGGAGAAAGATAAGAAAAGTGCTAAGTGCTGGAGCACTCAAAGATCTGCTCATGGATCCCTGACATGGTCACTATGGAGGTCCAGGTCTCACGGACCACCATGGTGTATTTGCATAGGAGGACTGGCCTATCCAAAGAAGCATTGTTTGCTGTTTCTCTTTTCCTAAATCCAGTTCTAGTAAATAATTTTTTTCTTCTGTAAGTCCATTAGTAAGGGGAGACAAAGAAATTCTATTTGGCATTTGACTGTTACATTACCTTTAAGCTTTTATCTGATGGCGCATATATTAAGTGTTCCTGGTAGGAGTAAGCAAAAGGAGAAAAGGGCCAAAGTGGGTGAAAGGGAAGGGGAATGGTTCACTAAAGAGTAGGTCATTTGGCTTCCTTTTCCCATCTTGAAGAGATTTTAGGTTTTCTTTTACTTCAGAGGATGTAAAAGAAAAGAAAAATAATTTAGGTTCTTTATGCCACTTCTCCAAGGCTTGTTGAAAACAATAAAAACACCTACTACGTACGCACAAAAATAAAAACAAAGAGCACCAAACGAGATTGATTACTTGGAGCTGCCTTTAAGTTCACACCATTTCTCTTGCCCAGAAAATTTCTTTTTAAGCAAAGATGAACATTTCTCTCTTCTCAAATGACAGTGACTCTGTTTGTAAGTACATCACAACCTTGGGAAATCTGGTGTGGGGTGTGGTCAACTGGGAAAGTGGAAGGTTCGGAGAAGCTGCCTTTGAGTGATGACAGGGCCTTTTATGGGAGAGCTACAGGTAGGCATGAGGACCTTCTTTGTCTCTGTTCCCTTCAGTCCCTCATTGCCTACAGTGATTCACAGGCCTCTGCTAGGGAATGTGCTCATTTTGGTCTTTATCTGTAGGTAAGTGCTGTGATCTGATTTCTTTCCCTATCATCTTCTCTGGTGGAAAAGCTGAAGTCTGCATGACCAACTATGAATACTATGCACACAATTATTACTTTTCCAAAGAGCACTTCTATATGTAACCTTATTTATCCCCAGTGTGATAATTTTGATATAAACAATTATCTACTGTTTTCTCTAGCACCCCCAAGTCCCATTAAAAATTTTTTCAGCTTCTCATCCTCAGTAGCCCATTTTAAGTGTTATACCATTAGCCTAAACAAGACGCTCCTCCTGATGTTTACTCTATAGGGATTTAGAGGTTTGAGGCCAAGATTAATTATACCTTGGGCCTGACTACTAAAGTAGTGCCAAGTCATCCTCCATCAAGAACAGGTGTAGAGATTCATTTTATTTGGGGGAAGTTAAAACATTTCCTCTATGGAGGACTATAAGTAGAGTGGCCATATGTTGTGGTTTATGCCTGTTGTCCCAGCATACTTATTTTACCCTTGAAAATGTCCCAGTTTGGAAAAGAATTTTGTATCACCTTACTATAAGCCACCTTCTAAAGAAACCATGCTTCTCAATTTGGGGAGGTGATTATATTTGCAAAACTTGAGTGGTTAATGAACTTTGGAGATGTTATAATCCCCTAACCCAGCTCAGCCTATCTTTTTCCTAGCTAAAAGATCTTTCTGGAGAAGACCCCCTGAAATGATTCAGGCTTTGGGCCCAACATAATTGGATTATTGACTACAAAGGCATCCCTCCAAAATGCCTGTGTGTATTTGCACATACACATGCACATAAAGAAGTAGTATCTGCATGTTGGAAAATGGCTGCTCTAACTTTCATGAAAGACTGTTAAGAGTTAACAAGTTTGAAGTTTATCAGGAGAAAGTTAAGTTTAGAAATAACATCCTGACCATGGTATTTGTAAGATACAAGGGCATAGCACCAAGAGAAGTGTTCGTTCTTTTCAGAATAGGTTTGAGAAGTGCACAGGCAACTTTCTGTTTCAGATAGTTTGCATGTGGTCTTGATTCTTGTGTATATAGTTTTTCAATTTGCCTTTTCCATAATAAACATGATGATCTTTTCAACTGCCTCCCAGTCCTCCCAGTATCCATGATTGGCTTTCATCGATCCAGGGCAGCAGTTAAAAGAAACTTTCGCCCACAGACCAAATCTGGCCTGCTATAGAAAAAGAATGCAGACAAGAAGAAAACATGGAACCATTTAGAGTTGCTTCTGCAAACATTTTTAAGCTTCCTCTTCTTAATTGAGCTTTACTTAGTTCAATGTTAGAATGAGTCCACATTTTGTGATTATATTTCAGCTCATATCAAGGGTTTGGAGATTGTCCAGAGCCTGGCAGAGTGGTAGAG